CTAGCCTTCTTCCGAACTGCCAGATCTCTTAATTGTATAGTTGTGTTCACTCTTTGGTCCTCCTTACTGAGGAGTCTCTGGGAGAATTGAGAGAGGTTATAATCAGAGACTATACATCTGCCCTGTTCAGATCTTCAAGGCCAAAGAAGAAGGCTTAGATTTATTATAGCATGGAGATCCCACAATTTATGAGAAATAAAAAGGCAACTAATAGGGGGAAGCCTTGATAAGGAGTTTCACTTCTGTCCAGGGAAGCTCATTTGTGTGTTGTGGCTGCCCAGAGCTAACTGAGATAGTGGCCCCTCCCTAACTGATGTTTTTCTACACAGTACCTTACCTTTGCATGGTACTATTGTAGGGCTTTTTAGATATTGCTGTCATATCTTCTCTTAGATTAGAGTGCAAAACCCTTAAAGGCAGAGGGGTTTTGCTTATTTGCCTTTTTATACCCTGAGTTGCTAGTATTTGATCCTTACCACAATTTTATAAGGTAGACCAGGCATCTAGTATGAAATTTATTTTGCAAGAAAAGGAGACTGGTGCCCTGAGAAATTAAATGACTCACTCAGGATCACATGGCTGAATTAGAATCGACCGCCAGGCCATCCCTTACTCCACTGCTTTTCCCCACTTACCATCCCATCTCCCAGAGCAAAAGGTGACATTCTGGATGCTGTTTGTCTTGCCGTGACGACAGCAGGGACTTAATGTTTTATTACTCGTGTAGCAAAATATATTAGGTGCTGTTTTTCCTCTTTTTTTTTTTTATGGGACTCTGGATGCCCATAGGCCTGAGCATACACAGAAGAATTGCTACACATAGCAGCATAAACCCTCCCAGACAGGGTGGAATACAGAAAGGCAGGAAGAGACGCCCACACCCCGATGTGGGAAGGTGGCTGAGAAAATTCACAGGCTCCTCTCCTCTGGCACAGACAGCATCTAGGAAGGGATCCTCTCTCTGGACGGTTTCAGCATTTACTACTGAATCTCTGTCCCCAGACCCCTGCAGCTAATGCTCCTGGGATGTGCCGGCAGGGTTACTGCTATGAGAATTCTCATTTTATTAGGCTTTAATCAAGCTCTCCTGTGAAGTGCTATATAAAATCAATTTTTAATTTTGTATGTAAAATAATCAAATGAGAGTGAAACATCACAGACATAAAATGTTTTTTAAAATGAAAATGCTACTTTTAATTTGATCATCTATAAAAATTAGCTGAATGGGATGCATCTAAGTGGCAGAAAGATTGATATATTCTCTTACTGGTGGCCTCAGAAAGCCCGTGATCTACATAGGTGAACTGATTTCCAATTCCTTGAATATTTTCTCCTCTCCATTAAGCACTGACCCTGGCATTCTTTAAAATCAACCTAAGAACTCACTTCCTATGAAAATATATTCACTTGATGTTTAAGAATACTTATTTATGCAGCTTGTGTTCACTTGTACATAATCTTTGAAAAAGCTTGCTGTGCTAAAGAACACGGGTCTGGGTCAGGCTGCAGGACTGAGGTCCAGTTCCAGGGTCTGCTAATCCCCTAATCTCATTGAACCTCAATTTCTTTATCTGTAAAATGTGGGCATGGAACTCAATAGCCTTCCAAATGTATGAACTGTTAAAGTTGTTTGCTGTTTGTCTCTTCCACAGGATTATGAATCCCCCTAGAACAGGATTTTTCCTTTAGCATCTTTGGTACTTCCATCTCCAACCCAGGCAGCCTGGCACTCCGCATTGCCCCCAGTGGACACCCTGTCTATACTGGTTGCCAGACTAAACTGACAGCACCTGTGGTGGCCAGGAGGTGGCACTTTGGTATTTTCTGCAATAGAAGAACAAACCACAGAAGGAGAAATCACTTGGGCTTTTGCTTTACTGACCACAATAGAATATCTAGGGAGCAAAACGATCAAGGTGTTAGGTTTTTATATTTACATATAATAAGATTGGCTTTTGGTAGTGGTGATGGTATACAGGTGTGTGGGTCTTAACACATGTGTGGATTTGTGTAACCACCACCACAGTTGGAATACAGAGTTGTCCATCGCCCCCCAAAACTTCCTTGTATCTGAATCCCCCTGATCACAAACTCTGACAACATTGATCTGTTGTCCATCTTTAGAGTTCTGTCTTGTAGAGAATATCACATAAAAGGAGTCATGCAGTATGTAAACTGTGAGGCTGACTGCTTCACTCAGCATACCTTTGAAATGTATCCATGTTGTTGCATATCAATAATTTGTATCATTAATTCATTCCTTTTTATTGCTGAATAGCATTTCATTATATAGATGTATCACAGTTTATTTATCCATTCACCTATTGGTGGATATTCCAGTTGTTTCCAGTTTGGGGCAGTTTTGAATAGAGCTGCTATAAACATTCATCTATAAGTTTTTATGCAAACATAAGGTTTTATTTCTCAAGGATAAATGCTTAGGAGTGAGATTGCTGGGTCACATGGTAACTCTACGTTTAACTTTTTGAGTAACTGCCAAACTATTCCCAGTGATTGAACCATTTTACATTCCCACCAACAACATATGAGAGATCCAGTTGTTCTGCATCCTCACCAGCATTTTATATTCTCACTTTTGTGGTGGTGTTGTTTTGTTTTGTTTTGTTTTTGGCCGTTCTGATAGGTCGTGGTGGTATCTGTTGTAGTTTTAATTGCATTTCCCTAATGGCTGGTGATGTTAAACATCTTTTCATGCGCTTATTTGCCACCCATATGTCTTCTTTGGTGAAGTGGCTTTAAATTTTTGCCCATTTTTAAATTGAGGTGTTCGCTTTCTTATTGTTTAGTTTTAAGAGTTCTTTATATATTCTGAACACAGTCCTTTATCAGATATATCTGAAAATATTTTCTCCCTGTCTGTGGCTAGTCTTTTCATTTTCCTACCAGAGAAAAGTTTTAAGTTTGATTAAATTCAGTTTAACAATTTTTTTCTCTTATGGGTTATACTTTTGATGTCATTTTTAAGAAATCTTTGTCTAATCCAAGGCCACAGAGATTTTTCTACTATTTTTTTTTCTGTATTTTTATACGTGGATATCCAAATGTTCCCTCCCAGTTATTCCAATGTCCTGAATATCCTTTGTCCATTGAATTGCCTTTGCACCTTTGTGAAAAATCATTTGGCCATATTTGTGTGGGTCTATTTCTGACTCACCATTATGTTCCACTAATCTATGTTTTTATCCCTTTGATGATCCCTTTGACAATTACATTGTCTTGATTACTGTAGCTTTATAATAAGGAAGAAAGTCTGTGAGTCCTCTAACTTTATTATTTTCCCAATTGTTTTGGTTATTCTAGTTCCTTTGTCTTTCCATACACATTTTAGAATCAACTTGTTGTTACTTACAAAAAATCCTGCTGGGATTTTGGTTAGGATTGCATTAAATCTGTAGATCAATTTGGGGAAAATTGGCATCTTAACATTTTTGAGTTTTCCAGTCCATGAACAAATTATTTCTATTTACTTAGATTTTTCTTTTTTATCTTTCATCAGCATTTTAATTTTTTTTCTTTCCTCAGTCTGCTGTAGTTTTCAGCATACAGGTCCTATACACATTTTGTTAGGTTCATATCTAAGTATTTTGTTTGGAGACTTGTGGATGGCCTTATTTTAAAATTTCTAGTAGTTCATTTCTAGTATATAGAAATATTTTTATATGTTGTCTTTGTATCTGGTGACTTTGCTAAACCCACTTATTAGTTCTGGGAGCTGTTTTGTAAATTCCCTTGGATTTTCTATGTAGACAATCATGTAATCAGAATATAAAAACATTAGTTTCTTCTCTTTCACTCTGTATGCCTTTTAAATTTCTTTAAACCTGCCTTGTTGCACTGGCTCGGACTTCTACTGTGATGTTGTAGAACAGCAATGACAGTGGAGATCCTTGCATTGCTCCTGATCTCTGGAGAAAATAGCCAGTCTTTCACCACTAAGTATGATATTAGCTGTGGTGTTTTGTAGATGTCATTTATCAGATTGAGTCCTCTTCTAATCCTGGTTTGCTGAGAGATTTTTATCACAAGTGAATGTTGAATTTTATCTAATGCTTTTTCTACATCAATTTATATCACGTGGCTTTCTTTTTTAGTCTGTTGCAATGATGGATTATATGAATTGATTTTTTAAGTACTGAACTAGCTTTGCACATCTTAGATAAACATCGCCTGGTCCTGGTGTATTATTTTTATATATTATTGGGTTCAGTTTGCTAATATTTTGTTGGTCATTCGTACATCCATGTTCGTGAAGAATATTGGATATTGGTCTGTAATTTTCTTTTCTGTCACTGCCTTTGTTTATTTTTGGTACCAGGATAATGCAGACCTCACAGATGAGTTGCAGAGTGTTCCCTTCTCTTCTATTTATAAGAAGAGATATGGAGAACTGGTGTTATTTCTTTAAACAGTTGGTAGAATTCACCAGTGAAATTTGGTAGAATTTATCTGAGCCTGGAGTTTTCTTTTTTGAATGGTTTTTAACTACAAATTTAATTTTTTTAACAGATATAGCAACATTCAAGATATCTATTTTTTGGGGGGTGAGTTTTGGTAGTTTGCAGCTTTCAAGGAATGATTTGGTTTTGTCTCAGTTGTTGAATTTATGTACATAGAGTTGTTGGAAATATTCCTTTATTATCCATTTAATGTTTACGTGGTCTGTAATAATAATCTCCTTTCATTCCTCATATTGGTAATTAAGTCTTCTGTGTTTTATTCTTTCAGGCTACAGGTTTAGCAATTTTATTGATCTTGAAAGATCAGCTCTTTGTTTCATTGATTTTTCTCTATTGTTTTTGTTTTCAATTTCTTTAATTTTTATTCTTTATTTTCTTCCATCTGCTTGTTCCATGAAACTTGATAAAAATTAAAGACATCAGGATTATCGATAAGTGATTTATTAATAAATTATAAAATATATTTTTAAATTTATTCTTTTGAGGTCCAACTGAATGTTTCCGTACTTTGTCTCTTTGCAGTTGACCGGTCTGAGTGTCTCCAATGGAAAGGACCAACTCGTAGTGTTCCACACAAAAGACAACAAAGACCTCATTGTCTGCCTCTTCAGCAAACAGCCAACCCACGAGAGTCGAATTGGAGAACTTGTTGGAGTCCTGGTGAATCATTTCAAGAGGTAAGGCTTGATTTTCATAACTAAGACAAGTTTCAAACACATGAAACCTTTCATCATAATTCTCTCTGATTGTGCCAATTTTCATGTATTGAGTTATTTCCCTTCATAAGGAAAACTTAAATCATCTGTTTCACAGAAGGCAAAATTAGCATCCAAGCTTAGTTTCAAGATTAGGAATGAACCTCTGTTTTTCTAGCCGCCAGCTGAACCAACAATGAGAGATTTCCCTAATCGTGATTTCTTCACTGCCAATCCAAATGTAATTAAATCCAGAAGATAGAAAAATTACTTTTTATCACAGCTCCTCATTTACCCCAAATATAATCAGTGAGTGTGTCTACTATGAATATAAACCAATTAGAAGGCAGGTTTAGGATGACATGTAGGTCCATGAAGACTAAAGGAATCTCTGAGAGAAGCAATAACCTCTACAAAAACATGGAGTTGTGGTGAAACATGTTATATTCTGAGAACTTCAGAGTAAACCTAGATAATGTGTGTGTTGTGAACAGTGATGTGAGAAATATAAACAGCAGATCCTGAGGGCGATGGGGACCAGTGAGTTGATCATTTTAAGCAAGGGAGTGATTTTGTCTGGTTATTTGTTGGAGTTGTTTTAGAGACGGCATTTTTCTTCCCACAGGAGGTCATGGAGTATTTGGGATGGGGTGTTTCCAACTCCAAAGTCAGATGTTCTTCCCATTGTAGCACACTGTCTCTACCTCCCCACCCCACTGATGTCAGGAGAAGACCACTCCTCAAAACTCAGGGACTGAGAAGTGAGCCCAATGTCCAATTTTTTTTTCTTCCTAAAAGACATTTCCTAAGTTGCTGGAAATAATCAAGTATTCCTTATTAGTATTTTTTTTTTTTAAGTTTAGACATGGCTTTTATTTCTCTAAACAAAGACATATTTAGAATCAGATGTCCACATGTCAAATTATACTATACTCATTTTTTGCTTAAAAATGTATGAAATATAATTTTAGAAGTAGGCTCCACAGACCTTTTATTTTATGTTATTAAACCTTGTATTCTGGGTCAAAATAGATCTTTAAATATCTTATATATTTAAATGTTTTTAAATGCTATAAATAAAATAATGTTTAATGGTCATATGGTGGGAAAAAATAAGAACCTAAGGAATTATCAAAAAATAATAAACATATGGGCCTTTGAAAAATTCTCTTTCATCTACCAAATAATTATAAAGATAAGAGGAATATTGAAGAGTTTTGAATGGAAGGGAAAGACTTGGGGAAAGCAACTCTACGATAAAGTCTATAACACAAATAAGCAGACTTATTATCCTCCTAGTATTTAGTTATGGCAAAGTCTGGACAATTAACAGGATTTAAATTTGTATGCCTATACTAATGAAGAGTTTTGCCTGGGAAATTGGAGTATTTTTTTCTCAATCTGGGTCTTGTTTAGCAAATTCCAACCCCTTTAAATGCCTCTATAAGAGATGGAAAATGTGAATCTGGTCCTAGAATCCATCTGGTGCTTTCTTTCCTCAGCATATGCATTCTGAGATATGCTTCTAGTAGCTTTCCCTCCTATCTTTAATATATGTAAGAATTTTAAATGCCTTTACATTTTATAAATGAAAGAGAATAAGGCTGTCAAGTTGCTAGATTTTCTTATAGTTTATTCTTAATGTTCCTGTCCTATGAATTAAGAGGTCATGTGCAAATAAAAAATAAAATCCCTCCTTCTTGCCCTTAGAGATTGCAGGCTTGGAATTTTGACATAGAGTTATAGTCATAAACTTGCTATTGACTTCTTGAGGAAAGGTTAATTTGATTTTTTTTCTAGCTATTTTCCTTTATTGTCAAGTATCATATCATTGGTGTGACTTTGAGAAATAGATTGTGTTTTACAAGCATAATGATGTGGCATGTAATCATATTTACCCCTGGGTTAATTATGGAAATCCAAAGGTGAGGGATCTGTGTCCAGACCAATTCTTTACCTTCCAGATAATTTCCTTAAAGTACAGTCGGAGAAGTTCTCTGGTTAGAAGTTGACAGGAATGGGCTCAAGGTAATAAAACAGGAATGGGCTCAAGGTAATAAAACAATTATAAAGAAAGAGGATTAGGACTTAAGTCCGTGAGCAAAATTCCAGTCAAGTTATGGAGAGAAGAGAGAGAAGTAAAAATTTTGGAAAAGAGTATCTCATTTTATTAGGACAGCACAACACTATATCCAAAACAAGTAAGAAGAGCACAAGAAGAGAAAATTATAGTCCAATCCTATTTTAGTGCAGAGAATTTTTTAAATCCTAAATAAAATGCTCCAAAATTGGATCTAAGAGTGTTTTAAAAGAATAATGCATCATGTTCAATGAGGCTGTACCCTGGGAATACAAGGATGGTTAACCATTAGAAAGTCCTGTTAACCTAGTCCTGTATAATAGCTCTTACTAGAAGGCAAAAATACTATTTGATAAAATTCGATACTTATTCTCAATAAATAAACAATCAAAATGAATAAATCATCAGTAAAAGAGCAGTAGGAACAACTAAGTGGCAAACCTGCAGCTGTTGATCAAAATAAGTTGAGCAGAAATGGCTACAGAGTTACCACACAGGGTGCCTATGGCATAAGGGAACTTCTAAGCCATGCCGACCCGATGTATGGAGGGTGAAGAGGAAGGATGTAGTCAGCTGAGGGGAGAAATGGCTTCAGGCAGAGGATGCTGCAGTGTGGAGAGAGAATGAGGTGAGGTCACAACCTGACCTGAAACTGTAGGGCAACCCTGATGATAGGTAACCTCACCTCTTCAGGGGCTGAACTTCAGCAAACAGCTGCCCTCATTCAAAGCAAATAATAAACCAGAAGGAAAACAGCAAGAGAACTGTGCATAGGCACAGTTTCAAATCAGTATAAAATAAGGAACAAAGAAAATAAAGACAGATTTAAAAAAAATAAAGAAAAATATGGGAATAAACTTGATATTTAAAAAAGAACAGCTGAAGCACAGACCAATCAGAACAGACGCCATCCAGAAATACCTGATAGATATAGCCATGCCAGTGAGTCCACAGATCAGAAATTTTACCAAAGGAGGAAGGGAGGGGACCCAAAGTCAAATAGGTTTAGGATATGCTAATGAAGTTAAATAGCTTTCTTTACTACAGTACTTCTCAGAGCCTTTAATATGCCTTTGTTTATTTTAAAGATAGCCAGTAAAAAAGCTGTAAGGATATGTGTGTGTGCATAAGTATATATACACACACACATATATGATTCATCATCTTGTAGGCTATTTCTAGAAAGATGCAAGAGGTAGAAAACAATGTTCGTCTCTGGAGAGGGAGAGGGGAAGTAGGGAACTGGGAGAAAGAGGTAGGAGGGAGATTTATTTATTTTCCACTGTAAACTTTTTTCAACAAATATATATGTTACAATCTAAATTTTTTTCATTTCGATAATAAACTAACAACAGCTAGTTTTTTGGCATATTATAGATGGCTCTGAATTCATGGTTATTTTCCTCTCCTGTCCAGAAAAGTAGAAAACAGAAGAGCTTTCTAAGTGAACAGTCTATCTCGTGGCATTTAAATACCTTGACATAAATCCAAATAAAATCTTTTGGAATACCATTGTTCTGCATGGTCCCATTGTATGTGTCACATGAACCTAAGATAAAGTTTCCTTTCCTGTGGTGGTTGTGCCAGCGGTTTTCCCCGCGAGGTCGCTTTGCAGAGGTTAAGAAAATGGCTAACTTGACTTTAGGTTTGTATCTCATTCTCAGCAGTGACTACCTGCTGGTAGTGAGCTTTTGTGCCCACTAGTAAACAGATGGTCTCACATTGGCTGCCCGAACTAGAGAGTCACCAGAAACTCTGCAATATTAAGCTGTTAAAGGACCCATCTGCCCTAAGCAGCTGTCCAGGCATTTGCTGGTCTGAATGCTGGAAACCTCAGTATAACCCCAGTCTTGGGCATAGAAACTCCTTATTTTTCCGCTTCTATTTCTGTAGACGAAAGCCAGAAGTCACTGCCATCAGCTTCTTGTTTTTCCTAAGCAGTATCTTTAATATCTGCTTAATTAAAGGAGCACCAGTACTGAGTTTAACTGAACACTTGACCTGTTTCTCTGCTGTGTTTTGCTTATGTTCTTTTTAACTTGCCCCTGAGACCACAGGTAGTTGTAGACCAATAAGCAGGCCATTGGTTGTTGCCTGGGGAAGGTAAGGCCTCCTGACTAGAGGTGAAGGAAGCAGAGGAGTGAGGCCACCTCCCAAAGGCCTCTGCTCCTGGCCCGCCCTGCCCAGCACTGCCACTGCTCTCTGCCTTCCTGCTGCTGCCACATGGGTCTCTTGCTCCTCTGTCCCTGACCTTGAATTTGTGTTTTCATGGTCATTGATCTGTATTCCCATACTGCTTTCCTCAAATGCCTAGCTGCTAATCATAGTAGCATACATCCTAACTAAAAAATATATAAATAAAATAAAGATAGTCCAAAATAATGTAGATGGCCAACTATAGAGGCTTGGTTAATTAAATTATGGTCCATCTCCTTCATCTAATATTGGGGCCATTTAAAATTATAATTATTGAAGGTATCTGGTTTATGGTGACAGCAATTCACCCTCCTCTGCCTTCCCATAGAGATATACATGAAAACAGAGATGCCAACTTTCCAATTGCTGGAAATTAGAAGTGTTACTCAACCACAGCCACTGAGAGGGAAGTCCTTTACCTGCGCTGACATGTCATTTCATCAGGCCTTCCTTGACCACTCACTCCAGCACTCCCTGCCTCCCTACCCTGCTTGATTTTCCCCCATGGCTCTCATATCCATCTAATACCGTATCTTTACTTTGTTTATTCCTTTATCGTATATATTCCAACTAGAACATGAGCCCCATGTTAGCAGGGACTGGTTGCTGCAGTTTCCCTAGTGTTCAGATCAGTGCCTGGCACTCGCAAGCCTCCCTATAGATAATCATTAAATACCAAGGTCTGCTAATGGGGCCCACTGGCCAT